CTCTACATATCAGTTATTATAAGATGTAGTGGTTGGAAACAAATCCAACTTATATGGTATTATAAAATTAAACATGTCAGTTATGATATATAGATCGATAATTTATATGTTTAATTAAATATTAATTACACGGTTTCCAACTCTTGTGACTCTTTATTGTTTTCAGATTTTAAATAATGTACATATTCTTATAAATACGGTTCTTCTAAATTCATACTCATCTACAGATTTGCAAAAACGTTTTCCATTCGGCTTTACCCAAATTCTACTTGCATTACCGTAAAAAAAGGGCCATCGGCACTGAAATCTCAAATAATATATTAGAGCAAGTTCCTTGCTTGCGGAAATTTATGATTTGGCAATGCATTTATCCTAAAAATTTAATTTAGAAAATTACATTTTTCTAATTGTTGTGCACATGTCCAATAAACTAAATTTAGCGTTATTATATTCTCTGTATTTTTTACATTTATATTGCACATAAAATCTAAATGCATATTTATCATCAAATCCTATGAGCTTATGTCCAATGATGACTAACATGATATATCTGATGATAAAAATAAAAAATAAACCAACTTTGAACAAAAATTAAGATAGATAGCCTATTCATAAACAATTAATAAAAAAATAAACAAACCAATTTTGTGTCGAACCTGAAACATTGCAATTATTATTTTCAAAACAATATAGAAATTATTAAGGAAAATTTTATGTTTATTTACAGTCTTATTTTGATTTACTTGATGGTCAACCTAATAATTGTTGTATGTAATTTTTTGTTTTATTTGAAGAAAATTGTGAAATACTAGGGAGAGGGAGAAAAATTAGAGGAAATCATTAAATTATGTTTCTATTATTCAACTCACTATTAAGGAAGTTACATGAATCAAACTAAAAATATACTTTGTTAGTATAGCTAGGAATGTAAAATAACTATCTTCATAAAATAGGAATGGAAAAATTAAACTTGGAATAAAATATAATTTATAAAATAGTTGGAAATTAGAAAAATTGTCCAAGTGTTGGGGTAATTTTTTTGGCGACAACAATCAGCATCTGCAGCCCAGGATAGAAGCCCAACAAGGGAGCCCAGTTGAGTGAGGCCCAATTTCCGCAGCCCTTGTGCAGCCCGCATCCGGCCCAAGTCGGCCTGTGCTCCTCACAACGAGTTACCCAATAATCAAACTCATATGTTGTATACAAAGAGGTTTTTAATAATATAAGATTTTTTACTGACGAACATTTTATGATGAATAATGTTCGTATGTATTAAACTCTCATGTATCCTAATGCATGTCAAATTATAATATTTTCCAAATTTATATATCCGTGCATCGCACGGGATACACACTAGTTTACTGAAACTTAAATCCCATTCTTGCATCCAAATCTAGGCTCGGTTACCGTAAGCCATTTAAGGCAAATAACTAGTATTTTCCTTTCTCTTTCCCTTAAGTCTTTTTATTACCTATCTCTTAACTAAATTTTAAACGCCATAAGTTCGGACAATAAAGGAAAATAGGTCTCAGCCAAATTACCTATCTTATGGACGGAGAATGGCTCGGCTGAAGCTAGGGGCTCGGGAAAATGGCGGATCCGAGCTTGGAGGCGGCAGACTGAGGTCGGGATGCAAAGAGCTGACCAAAAAAGCAGGCTAGGCTCGGCGGCGAGCTCGGGCTGAGGCTTTCCGGCCGGTGGTTCGCCGGAAAAAGGGTGGTCCCGCCGGAGATGGTCAAGCCATGGGTGGAGGTGGGAGAAAAGCTTATGTTCTTGACTTGAGAAGGTGGGTTTTTTATTTTAAAAGCTAGATCCTTGAACAAGTTAAGACATAATGTTGATTTTTGAACAAGATCTTGGAAAAATTAAGTGTTTATAGGCTTAGATCTAAGATTGAATGTGGATAAACGTAAGAGATGATGAAGAGTGACTTGAGGAGGGGCTAGAGTTTCTTGTGTGTGGTGAGTGGAGCTAAGGGAATGGAGCTTCTATTTATAGATGTGTACAAGACTAGAATTTGGCATTCTTGGGCTATAACTTGGGCTTATTAAAATCGGGCTAGGATATTGGGCTCAATTTTAAATCGGTTTGGGCGTAGGATAATTAGTCGACTCGACTTAGAAATTTAAAATGTTCGGTCAAATAAAATGTGACGGGCTTGAAATAATAATCTTGACTTAGACCGAGAAATAATATTGGGCTCGGAATTAAATAGTTGGGCTTGTTCGGGACTTAAATAAATTCCTGTCTTTTCTACTACTCGATAAAAATAATTTATCGGGCTTAGACTTAGGATTTTATATTTCCTTCCCAAATAATAATTCGAGCGTCCTCTCCATGGCTTAGACTTGAAATATAATAAATTATACGATTAATACTAATAATTCTCGCCATAAATAAAATATTATAATTTCTGATAAATAAAGTCAAGCTAAATATATAATTTTTGGGCTGGGGCATACATCTGGTACTAATTTTTGTAATTGTTTACCAAAATTGAAATAATCAATTTTCATTAACAAAAGTAGGTACTAATCGATCAAAAATAGGTACCACGTAGAAGAAGATGTCGTACTATTTTGGCTAAAACATGTACTATTTTAAGAATCGTGATTCTCTGATCCTTCATGTCTACCATGACAAGTGGATCATTCACGCATGATTTGGATAAAAAAATAATGGAAGTTAAAACATATAGGTACTCGTCATGTATGAAGATTCTATGAGATGAAGTATGTCATTCAATAAAATGAAATGTATTAATAGTGTTTTCTCACTAGTATGTCGAGTTCATGACCAATTTGCAATTAAACTCAATTAAAAACATTTTAAATATCATGAAAACTAATGTGAGAGTGATCATGGGTCATATAAACATCATTTGAGACCAAAATTCATTTTTTTAATGTGTTATTACATGTGGTACTAAAGACCCAATATCAGATACTACAACAATATAAAATTGGTACTATATTACTCTATGTCTGGTACTACTTTTTGTAAATGTTGACCAAAATTGAAATAATCTATTTTCGTTCACAAAAGTAGGTACTAATCGATTAAAAGAGGTACCACACATCAGAAGATGTGGTACTATTATGGCTAAAACAGGTACTATTTTAAGAATCGCGATTTCTCTAATCCTTCATGTCTACCATGACACGTGGATCGTTCACGCATGATTTGGATGAAAAATAGTGGAAGTTAAAATATATAGGTAGAATTTAGAGTAGTCATGTATGATGATTCTATGAAATGAAGCGTGCCATTCGATGAAATGAAGTGTATTAGTAGTGTTTTTTCATTATTGTGTCGAGTTCATGAGAAATTTGCGACTAAACTCAATTAAAAATATTTTGAATCTCATAGAAACTAATGTGAGAGTGATTAGTTGAACACCCTAGCTGGGCATCCACACACATGAAGCTAGGTCTTAAGCCAGACCTCGTTGTAGTCCTCTGGAAGATGAAAAGAGACTAGGAGATGATTGAAGTTATACCACTTATACGAAAATCTACCCTTAAATATCATTTTACCTAATCCAGCAGAAATATCTCGGGGGCAGAGATAGCATAGGTAAACTTAAAAACCAGGGTGTTACTAACTTACGAGCAAGGACATCAGCTTCAACTTGAGTGAAACGGACCTTCACCTTGTTTCCCTCCGAGCGGATGATGGTCCCGCAAGCTGCTCGTATCCTACGTCAAGGATTAAGTCCTTGGCTATCGGCCTCGTCTCAATTGGACCTCCATCTCTCTTCCCATAATAGCCTCCTGGAAGGAAATCGGCCCATTTGGTGCGGCAAGATGGGGCCCGACTGTAACGGGGGTGGGTGTTGAATTACCCGTCGGCAATGTTCCTTTTAGGGAAGGACCAAAAAGGTGTGCCGCGGAAGTCTTGCTTGGCCCCATAAAAATCACCTCGTCTTCACGCACGTACCAAATGCTTGGTTCGTGGTCTCTGGCGGTTTGGTCGATCGTAGGAGAAGTTGGGTGGGGCTCGAGAGTTCCTGTCATTAAATCCTGTACCTCCCCGGATGGATTACCGGCCGTTTCTGAATTTTCGGTCACAGTGATGTCGCCGGAACCGGCGCCGGCATAAGGTTGAACAACGCCTATGGGTTGGATATTGGCATAGAGAACAGCCTGATTGAAGGGAACGGGCTGAGGAGGGCTATTGGGTTGGGGGTTACGTGCTGTTGTGTGATATTTGCAGGTTGGTGTGTGGGCTGTAAGGTGGAGGATGTGGGCTGTTGGATGGACAATGGGCTTGATGCTGTAATGTGTTGTAGGGTGATTGGAAGGGTTGGGCTGGGGTAGCGGGCTTGATGCTGCGTGATTGGCGGATTTGAGAGGACAAAAGATGATGAGGTTTGGTCTTGGCCCAGTAAGCCATTTTGGCCCAATAGATTATTTGGCTGGGTAATGACCACGTTTCCATTCACAGCTCCTAACCCTACCATTTGGCAATCAGGTAAGAGCTGAGGGTAAGGGGCAGTCAACGTGGCGGCGGCAGCGGATGTCTTCTTCTTAAATTGTGGTTTGTGTTTGCTTTTGATGATTTGGCATGATTCTTTGATTCGTACTTGAGTTGTTTAGAAGATGATGGAAGGAATTTTGTTGTAAAAGAGAACTATTTTGATCGGGATAGTATTGATGTTATATTTGGATGAAATTGTTGGTTGTTGAATTGGTATTGTTGTTTTGCCTCAGGATATGTTGAATCGTGGAGGAAGAGGCCGTGGAAGAGGTTCGGATGCCAACGCTATATCGGGGGCGGCTATACAACCGTCGGTGTTTGGCGTTCGATTGAAGTCGCCCGAGGAGAAGGTACGATGGAAGAATCTCTCGAACTTGAGGATGGTTGCGACGAGATATATTGATGATGAGGCACTTGTTACTCTCGGCCTATATGATGACGTGATCAAGTTGATTCGAAGGGCCGGGTGGGAGTATTTAATGACGCAGAAATGGCCGACGTATGTCGGTCTTACATTGGAGTTCCTTGCCACCTTGGAGGTCGAGAAAACGGGGTATGATCAAATGGTGAAGACGATGAAGTTCCGCTTTGACAATAAAAGCTACACCATCAACACAAAGACATTGGAGAAGGACATTTATCAAGCCTCGAAAGACCCGAATCTCCCTTCATCCTTTAATGCCAATGATGTTTGGAGTTTGATAGCCGAGACTCCAACACATCCCGCCCCGAGATATATTCCCAAGTCGACCAAGGCGACCTCGATACGCAACCCGGTGTTGCGATTCTTGCAGAAGGTGGTGGCGAGCACCATATTTGCGAGAGGAGAGATGGGTGGTTGTTCTCTCCGTGAGCTTACGGCTATTTGGTGTATGTTGAAGAGTAGTCCCGGACTCACCGGGAAGTGGGTCGCTACTCATTTGTGGGAGGCGGCCATAGCCGAGTCAGGATTTGTGTGCGTGGGTGGTATGATCACGCCCATTGTTATGTATTGTGGAGTTGATTTGACGACGAAGGCCCCAGTCGGCCTTTAAGGAAAATCACTCGTACTTTGTAGTCCTCTCCCCTGAGGAAGAGGATGAGGCCGAGCCTTCTTCTACGGCCCCCCATAGACTATCTGATCTAGCGATCCTAGACGATTATGACCTTCTTGGAGATGATAGGGAGCAGCCAGACACCTCGACTAGTGGCGATTCCATTCATTTATCTGATGCCAGCGCACGTGTCGTTGCTCCTTTGACTGTGCAGGCATCTAGACAGGACCGCCCTTTGGATTCGAGAGATGGTGCCGTCACTGCTCCCCCGAAGGGGGATGAGCCAGCACATCTCCCCTCTGCTGTGATTGGGAGTTTGGCTGAGCATATAGCTAGTCTCCAAACACACTCTGTCGGCGAGCACCCGAGCGCTCTGCCAGCTAGAGTCTCTCGTCCTCCCCTCACTGAGCAGACATGCGGTCTTAACCGCGCCCAGCATGACGTCTGTGCGAGAGTTTCGCCTCTAGTGCTTTCGTACACTATGACATACATGAGACAGCCTCGGAGATGAGGCAGGTTACTAGTGCCAGTCTGGGTCAGACTGCTCAGCCAGATGATTCGCAGGTGACGAGCACCTACCGAGGGTGAGCCCCCTCGAAGACCAGACCCACACCGCGCATGACACGATGGACTGTCTCCCCTGCACTTCGATCCTTTCGCCACCTTCCCCCTCCATCATGTGGCTCGACTCAGCCTCGTCACATGCGGACCCCGTCTAGTGGCTCTTGCGACTGTTGATACGTCTATCACATCCATTACTTGGAATGGTCGGGGCCTGGCTAATAGGGCCACTCTCGCTCATCTTCACTCTCTCATTCGTGATCATAGACTTGATTTTGTTGGCTTTATTGAGTCGATGATTCGCGCCCCTGACTTTG